ATTTGGTGTTGGAAAAAACTCTTGAGAATAACATGGACAGCCAATGTCAAAGCCAACAAATGGATCATCAAAAAAATCACTCAGGCACAAATGACCAGGCTCAAATTATCCTATTTTGGACACATTATGCAAAGACCTAGCTCTCTGGAGAAGGCTCTAATGCTGGGAAAGATGGAGGGAAAGAGGATGACCAGCAGCAAGGTGGATGGACTTTGTCACAATTGCAATGGAAGACTTGAAGGACTACGTTAGGGACACATTGTCATGGAGAAAATGTATCTATGTGGTCACTAAGATTCAACAGTAACTTCAACAACACATAATCAATCATAATCAATAGATCTAGAATATGATAGATCTAGTTATGAAAAATATGGATGTATCCACAGTCCTCTTCAGCACCTGAAGTTACCACTGAACTTCTCCCAAAATTTATTTTAGTCCTAGTGACATAACACAACACTACATGTTTCTTTGCAGTGCAAAGAGATCCCACTTTTAAAAAGTGTATCTTCTTAGTTCATTCACAGCAGTGTTCAGCTTTATAGGATAACTATATCAATTTAAGAAATAAATGAAGAAATAAAAGCCCAATGTTCCAAGCAAGGATTGTACCTGTGGCATCTTGTAAAGGGACAGGATGGTTGTCATGTGGACCCCAACTGCAGAGGTTGGTCCTCCAAGGACAGCTATTGGCCTATTCTGCATGTCACAGCTGTAGTTAGGGATGAATCTATCCTGAGGAGAGAACAGTTCCAATGAGGCTCGATAGGTCCAATCTGCACTAAAATAGCTATTGTAGATATGGAAGCCCAAGGTGTGGTTAGGTAAGATCTCAGGATTTTCATTGATTTCCTTGATTGTAAATTGTAAAGCCAGAAATTGCTGATAGATTGATGTGATCATCCTGAAAAGAAAAGTACACTATTTCACAGAATATTTAGCTCAAAATTAGACACTTGGCATATTTCATTTCAAGATATTATTAAGAATTTGTATCAATGTACGGGAACATGAAGAACTGTTGTCACAATGAATTGGACATATCACATCAGGTTAGTTTTTTTCGTTTTTACAAACCCAGCACTCAAAAAATTCAGAATGTATTGGTTATTAGAATAATTTCTCACAGTCCTCAAGAAATTCCTATAATCAATATTTTCCTTCAGGGAAATAATCTTGGAATCTGACATATGTGGTATATAGCTGCCAATACAGTTATAAATATAACGTTCATTCAACTGCATGCTTTTCTTTCCAATTTTTATAAATTCATTCAATCAATCAATCAATCAATCAATCAATCAATAAAAATATATACCATACCATGCATGCACTATTTACCAAAGTCTCCCCTTCCTTCCTCATAGTGTTTCATTTTAGCCTTTTTCTCCATCAGATTAAAATGTGCAAAAGTACCAAGTACCTGAGAAATTGAGATAGATGTCAATTAATGAGGTTAATGAATCCCACAAAATGGTCACATCTATCTATCTATCTATCTATCTATCTATCTATCTATCTATCTATCTATCTATCTATCGAATTTGTCACTGCCTGTTTCATTAAAAAGCAACGTTCTTTGAATGTGCACAATTTGAAGTGACGTTTCCATGGGAAAAAAGAGTAATTGGTGCCAGCTTGTTGGAAATAGGCAATGCAATGTTTAAACAGAATTTTGATACGTTTGTTAGTGAAATATTACAGCAAGCATATATTTACACCTCCAATTTATTTTTAACAAAGTCACAGAGTAATTCCAGAAAGGAAAATAAAAACAAAAATGTCCTAAATATCATTCCTAAATAACTTAAAGATAGATAAATCTCATAAATATTTAAAATAAATAAATCAAGTGAATGGACAAGCTGAATGATATCCAATGCGTCCCTGCTATCTCCTGTATTCTGCTGTAGTTCTTCAAAATGAGCCTCTTTTTTGAGCTGTCCTTGAATCGAACCTTCCTCTTCTCCATTTTGCGAACAGAACAATTAGTATCTAAAACCCCAGTGGCAACTTCACATGCACTAGCCTCAACTGTGCTTGTGCTAGCCTTGCATTAACTGAATTTTGGCTTGCATTAACCACAACCTGGTATCAACTGATAATTTGCACTACATAGAATATTGCACTATTCAAACTCACACTAATCGCGACCTACCTGTACTGTTTTGTTCTTTCAAAAATCACATATTAACTCAAGCAAATAGGATTCTGGTTCTCATTTAATTGAAAGGTTATCTATAAATTATGAAAGGTCCACGGAGACCCTCCCTATCTTGGCAATCCATTGGATTAACACAGAAGTTTTATTTGGTGTTAACTCATTCAGATACAACTATATCTAGTAGTTAGTAGCAAGTGCCTGTCCCTTACTAGAAAAAAAGCAATGTTTGTATACAATGTTATTCCCTTCTGATTAAAGAAATTAATTTCAGATAACATTGCAAATAAAGAAGTTCTTCTTTCTATTCTGTTAGCAGTTTCATCCCTTTAAGATTGGACCTAATAGATTCTTCATTCATGTCATGATTTGTTCAGATGTGCACCTTATTAGAAGAAAAATCTTATTATGGAAATAATATCAGAAATTGAGGAGGAGAAAAAGGAGGATTTTCATCACTGCTGTTTAGCAGTAGAAGTTCTAAACCTTCTTTAAAAGACTTGGTTGAATAAGATGACCATCTGACCCAACCCAGCTCTCTCTTGACATATAGCTGACATTTCAGAACCAGACATTTGGAGTTTGTGATACACAATATTGTTGGTTCTAGCATTCCTTTGCGGTCCAGGTTTGAGACATCTCAGCTTAATAACATCTTGTTACCCCACACTTCAGTGAAGGATCTCTTCTGTCACTTTTCCTAGTGATGTGTTGTTTTCTAAAGAAATGTTGGCGTTTTTGCTAATGAATAGTTAATGAAAGACAGAAGAAAATGAGAGATTTCTTCTCAGTCTATAGGGGGATGAATGTACTGCCTAATTAATTATTCTGAAGAAAGAAGTGGAATAGGAACAGGAGTATTTTTTTGGCATAGGATGTCAATTAGCAGATAATGGATACTATGCAACATTTTATTTGAATAAACATTTTATTTGTTAACATCAAACAACAGGACTGTCAATACAAATTATTATGTTGTACATGTGAAGCATATATAACCTTAAGTTGAGCTCAACTTTTGGTGATTGCATCCATGCAGGTTTTTTGGCAATCTTACATAAGTTGCTTACCTTTGTTTTCTTCTAGAATTTTTATTTATTTATTGTTTCCCAACCTACGCAGTACCACATAATTCCAGATTTCCCCAAATCAAGCCACATCCTGATTAGATTCCCAGATCAGGCAAAGTTGACTTGGTGCTGCCAGATATATTTGTTGCTATGTATGTTTGAAATAAACTTACAGAATGTCGTCAAAGAGATGACTAGAGGGTGCTTCACTGAAGTCCATCATGGAACAGAAGATGTAGATCTTCGATAAAATGTCTACAATGATAAGATCTCCTGGTTGGTATTGCTTGTGAAGAAAAGGCAGAGGCTCACTGATGCTGCATTTAGCCTTTGGGATCTTGCATACAACATGGGGCAAAAACACTAAAACCAATACTTCAAACAGCACCATCTTGAATGAAACAGCTCCTTCTTTAAGCCATTTCTACTGTCCCAGCATTGTCCTTCATTAAATCAATCAGTTTATATAAAATCCCAGGCTGTGAGTGAGTAGGTAACTCTTTGAACTAAAATTATCGGTGGTCAGACTCCCAGAATCCTTTCTAGCTGATCCCCAAGTTAGAATATTCCAGGGAATATTAATGGTATTGTATTTTCTTTCAAATCTCTTTGGTTTTTTCATGTGTTTCCATTCTTGCAACTCATGTGGGACATAATAGTGACTCAGAAGTTATCATGCTTAAATGAATAATTGCAACAATTATAAGTCATATTAAATCATGAATAAGGAATCTTATTGAAGTTGTTGGTCACACTGGCCATTGGTCTTGTAGAAATGTTTAATGTTCTTCAGAGAAATAGCAAGAATTATAAGAGATTGTTGATGTTGTCATAGTGAGTACAATTGTTCCCTTTGGGTTAGGAGATGTAGTTGAAATAAACCTAGTCAAACTGTTAATTACAATGGAGAAATCACAATTTGAAATCAAAAGCACAAGGGAACGGCAAAGAAGAAAACACATTGTTCACATTTCAGCAAGCATCTTGCCCAGAGTTTCAGAGTTTCAGAAGTCTGTAGTTTACTTGATAGCAAGATAATGGTCCACAATCCAGTG